ACAAGCTTGGGAGACAAGGCGGCAGCGGCAGCCAAAAGCGAAATCATAAAGGGAGACAAGCTTGGGAGACAAGGCGGCAGCGGCAGCCAAGAGCGAAATCATGCAGGGAGACAAGCTTGGGAGACAAGGCGGCAAGCTGCACAGACAAGGCGGCAGCGGCAGCCAAAAGCGAAATCATGAAGGGAGACAAGCTTCACAGACAAGGCGGCAGCGGCAGCCAAAAGCTAAATCATGAAGGGAGACAAGCTTGGGAAACAAGGCGGCAGCGGCAGCCAAAAGCGAAATCATGAAGGGAGACAAGCTTGGGAAACAAGGCGGCAGCGGCAGCGGCAGCCAATGTCCGCAATCAGCAACCCATCCATTGAGAAGTAAGAACCCCTATAGCTTCGCTATCTGGGGAGAAATATATGTCTAAGATTGTCTGAGACTGAGTGTTCAAGTCGATGCAAAAAAGGCCCCCAATATAGGATCCTTTTGCACGGTTGGAGAGTCTGCAATATGCATTGGCATGTGTACACTGAAGTTTTTTGGCTTTACTTCCACTACAGGGGACAAGGTTCAGTTGGCATACAGCAATCCACAACAGGTATGTTTTAACTGAGGGAAAATTCAATGTTTTTTTGTTGCATTTTTTGACTGCCAGTCGTATCGCAATGAGTTCGCTGGCAAGCATCACAACAACCAGTCAGTAAGTGAAGATTCCTTCGCGCTCGTGACGGGGCCGTTTATACTCGCTTACACATCGGCCATCGCATGTTAGTCTGAGGCACGAGTAAGGAATCTTCACTTTGAGCGGCGCAAAAAATGCAGATTCCGACTGGAGCTAACATTGGCCATGTTGCGTGGGAGTTGCAAGTAAAGAACCTTCGCTTTTGGCGCCGGTAAAGGTATAGGTTCTTTACTCGGGCTAGCACGCGGCTAACCAATGTGTAAACGAGTAAGGCCTCGAAACGGCAAAAGTCTGGTTGCGGAAAGCTGCACCGCAGCACGGTGGCAAACGTTACCTCAAGGTTCGATATAAAGAGCTACACGGTAAAACTAACCGCAAATAGAGCTAGAGGATGAAGTAAAGGTATAAGCAAAAACTAGACAGTCTACGGGTGAATGTGAATCACTAGGAGCACGGCAATGAGATGCCAGCTGTGTTTCCAATTCAAGGCAACATGCTCCATGTACTGGGGTTGGCGAGGCAGTCCACAAGCCGCGGTAAAGGGCGCTTGAAGAAAGGCAGTGTGACAATGGCATGTGTTGACTGCCACTCAATTCGCTTTAAATTTGCTGACTGATCTCAAAGCAACACGCTGCATAATTCGAAGTCAGGGGGTAGTAGTGGAGGGTTTGTATGGTCGATTGCTTCTCAAGGTAAAGTTGAGTATTGCTGCTGGGGTCACACTACTGCTGTCCGTGGCTGCTCAGAGACTTGGGTTTGGCTAAGGTGGGCGGACATGAGGATACACATTTTTATGCGGACATGGAGGGCCAGGGAATTCTTGGACCGAGTCTCAAATCTTTACACATCATACAAATGGATTTGGGGGTAGAGCCAGGCAGATAGCATGGCATTCCTCTTTTGCAGGGTCAAAAGAACAACAGCTATCCTATTTGATGATCCGAAGCCTTCTGGAATCTGAGAAGATCTTCTATATCCAGCCTCTGAGTATTAAGGATTAGTTTATGAACAAACACGGGATAGCTACATGTCGTTTTGGATCATAGGTAGATAATCGAACACCAGTGCTCGCGAAGAAGAGGATGCTGCAGTAAATTAGGTGTTTGATGGGGATAGATCTTTGAACTTTTTGACAGGGTGCAAGGAGTCAATGTGTTTCTTGATCTTCAATCTGGTGCCTTTGGGAACCTTTGCTTTTGTTTTCCCAGTTGACCCCGCCCTGGGGCATCCACTTTTCAGCCATGAGCAGGTCATGTAGGCATGGGGACTGTGGGCACCGTCGTCAGATGAGCAATCACCAGCGGTTTGAGCACTAGCAACCTAGAACTCGGGTCTATCATGCCCAGTAATGGAATGGCGCCGAATACGGGGTATTGTCATCAGGGTGATGTTGTATTTTTCTGCAGCTGCATGATCAATTGTTTTCCATAGTTGCTTTTTGCGAATGATGCGTTTGCTTATGTCGAGGTATGTCTCTTCTGGAATGTCAGCGTTGGCCATGTGTGTGCGCGGTCGAAATGTGCCATGGCGGCAAAGTGGAGTCAGAGGCTAAATGATCAAGTCTGGTTTGGGGTCTAGGATTGCATGCATTTTGGACGGTACAGGAAACTGTCACGAACATGGACCTTCCACAGATGGCCAGGTCTATATTCCTTTGGTGCAGGTGTGGGCTGCCAGCAGCACTCAAGGAGCGGCTGGTCGGTGGTGGTGGTGGCGGTGGTGGTTGCGGTCGTGATCGTGGTTGCATTGCTGTTACTAATTATATGTATATATATAACATATTACTATAGCATAAATTGTATAGCATTCCTTTTCGCCAACCCATAGATTTGAAGCCGAACAACAGTTCACAGAGTTCACGTTTCTTTAAGTCCAGAAGTCAGAATGCCTCAGGAATTGAGATTCCTGGCGTGTTTATGATGATCGAGAAACCGTGCCCCCCACATGGGTAATGACATGGCGTGCCCAAAAAGGAGGCCAACTCTGGGGATCCTTTGGTGTGTAGCTCAATTAGGGTTACACACACACACGAGAACCCCTCTCAAAAGTTGAACGCAACACGAACCGAAGACACAAGAGCATTAAGAACATTCATCAGATGATATGCAAAAACAGAATCGACATGAAGGCTGCAAACTGCAAACAAGTATTAGTGCTTCACCCTACACCATGCAACATGTATTGAAAATAGGGGCTGGCTAAGAATAATGTTTTGAAGTTGCGCACTGAATAAGAGACTTCGGCACCAAATCATTCCCGAGCAAGAAGGACTTCTGGGCAGTCCCATTCGCATTCCAGGAAGTAGCTTGCGGAGTCCCGCCATGCATTTCACGGGAACGAAGAGCGAGGTCATGCCAACCATCCTCTGCAGCATTGGCCAGTGAGGCACTCATCAATTCCAACATTGAAATCACCCATGATCAACGCCGGGCCCTTGAAATCTGGATGCAACCAGCATGATTTCATTCAGTAGGCCCCAAGGGTTTTTCACACGAACGATGCTTAGTGGGCCCATACAGGCACCGCCACATAAAAATCCAGGCCAAAAGCACAAAGAACAAACTCCATCACAAGCGAGTGTATGCTCCAACCGCATCAGGCAAGGGTTGAGGATAGGGGCCACGAATGGCCACGAGAAATACAAAGCTGACACCCCAGTACGACCATGAAGACCCCCATTCGAACCAAGATATTACAGGGTCACTGGCCCTGAAGAACATCCCATTTTCTTGCAACCGCCACGAAGGCTGCAAAGGGCTTCCGCCGAAGCCGAAGTCTCACTAGCTCCTTTAGTTGATTTTCCTCTTCTGCGGTCTCCAATGGGGGATGCCGGGATAGAAAAATCATTACAATAACTGTTGTTCCGATTTTGTTCGCGAAATCCTTTCCTATGGGTTATGCCCAGATGACAATGTATACCAAACCAATAGATTCAGTCATGATTCACGGCACCATGCTTGGTGCTTTGTGAACTTTCAGGAATTACGGGTTGTTCAGGAGGATGTTTCGGGGGAGTATAACTGCGTGTACCGGGGGAAAAGTGTCCCACAACTAGTGGAGGGCACCAAGTTCTGGTAGGATGTCAAGCGCTGGCCCAGCATCTCAGCATGCTTGGATTGGTCCCCAGGATTTCTCCTCTCCTTACTTCTCCACGCTCAGTGACTTGGCCAGGAATGCAATGGCTCGCAGCCACCTGTCGGAAGGCCCGCTTTGGCGACAGTGAGCACGCGTCTTGGCCGAAACGCGGCAGTTTGGTCGCAAGTGTTCTGGTGTCAGTTTACATCCTTTGGGAATGGAACAACACATATCAACACACAAAGAACCACGCATTCTGCACAGGGTATTGTGGGAGCCTATCCTTTCATCCCCTACTCATTTGCGAGAAAGACGTGATTGGAGTGGAGAAAGAAAGAAGGATCTCGATGTGGATAGAGAGAAGGATGCCAAGATGTTAAATGATGATGTGCCAAGAGATGCCAGCACCAAGCCTTTTGGTCTGAAGAGTACTTGCAGTGTACTGTAGGAACAAAAAATAGAATAGACAAGTCTGTGGAAGACACAAAGCGCAAATCACGGCGGGGACGACCATCAAGAACCTAACGGTTGGTTCATTTTCCAACAGCTCTATGATCACGTTTGCTCCTTGATCAGTGCGACACACGGACCTTGAGGATATGGGTTTGGAAGACAATCGGACGAGCAACACGATCATTCTGGAGCAGATTCCACAGGCGCAGATGATTCTGAGGTGTTGTAGCAGGCGCAGTGATGGAGCGAGATTTATCACCATCCTTGAGGTGTTTTATACCACCCCAAACAGAACGTAAGCTTGCAACTGCTAGTTGCTCATGCGTTGGCACTCCTCTTCCTAAGAGTATTGCTCTGAAAAAGACTGTTTTGTTTGGGGGTCAACCCAACGGAATTTCCACCTTTCCAGACCTTCCTCTGTCCAGATGCTACTGCAAGCAACCTACTTCCGCTTCGTTTTAGTGGAGATGAGTCTGCAAGCACCTGGGCACCAGATGGCAGCTTTCGTGTGGAAGTGCTTCTCTCTCCTTGTCGTAGTCTTTGTCGCCAACCCAATTGGCCACAGCTCTTCACGCTCTCAGAAGTCTCAGGCCAGACTGAAACAGTGGCTCTCCGTGGGCATATCCATTGCCGTACTGCTGGCGAAGACCCGGAAGTGGCGCAAATTCGCTGCTGGGTGTCACGACCAGGTCAACTGGGGTAAAAACTGCAGAGGATGGGGAGAGAGCAGATGTCCGAATGTAAATGGTTTCCTTCCAAGTCCTTCAATATGAGCAAAGAATATGAAATTGTAGTCCGGTATTTATAGAGTGGAACTAGACATTGGATAATGCAGGTTCAAGGAATGGAACACTAAGCTTTGTTGAGCAAAATCCTGCACCACCAAGTTTGTTCAAGCACCTTGGAGGTCGCCCCTTTTTGAAAAAACTCCTTTCTGGGCCTGCGAAGGAGGTGTGCACCGGCCGGTGGATTCCTTGTATGACCATGCTCCATGAATGAGGCACACGACTTCTGACAAAACAAAATCCTACTTCTCCCTCACCTCAGAACCTGGACAACCCCACATCATGCTAAAAGGAATATGCACGAGTCCTTCGGGGTGAACATGGGGACATAATTCCTCTCTGAAGAGGCTCGGTTCCTCTCCAACATCGTCAGACTGTTCCCAGGCTGTTCCCGCTCGGCTGGGCTCCTTGCTGGTGGTGCTGCTGATGTTCCCGGCAGAGATGGAGGAGTGGTCATAGAAAGTGAAAGATGAGCAAACACCAAGAGTCCAGTCTGCCTATCACCCAAACGGTTTTGCTCCCACCGCCCACAGTTCGAATTGCATCCTTTAAGAGAACGCGGATTTTCAGGAAAAACCAGGTGTTTCCAGACCAGGCCCTCCCGAACAATGGCTTGGGTGCGCTTGGGTGTTAAGTTGACTAACTCCTTCATACTCCTTCTACAGGCACAAGAACCCTGAGAATAGCAACAGTAAAAGCTGCATGTCTTCAGACGATTCAACTTAGTCTTGACGTGTAGACCCTAAGGTTCGGCTTGGACACTCTCAGGAGGTGCAAAGGCATAAAGCACACAGTTCAAGGCCACTCAATTCTGTTCCTTAGGGGTATTCACGAAAGGACACAAGATTTTGACCCACGGCCAAATAGTCAACTTAGTATGACTCACTCATAGTGCTTCTTTCGCATCGCAGGACTCTGTGCTGACATGGCACTGGGTTTGATCACTTCCACTGGTGAGTCAGTCCAAGGGGATGGATCATGAAGTGAATCTGTAGGAACCAACTCAACGTTGGTGAAGAAACCAAGCCAATTTGGGTTTGAATTTAGATACTGTAGATTAAATCGAAGCACCCAAAGACGGTGATAGATGAACATCCCCCGCTGTACATACATACTGTTGGCCATTTTGCTTGCTCCTGGCCAAGTCAGAGCTCAGCGTATGGCCAAGTCGCGACAAAGAAAGGGCACTTTGTGCTCATAGCTCTGCAGCACAGAGAGCTAGAGCAGCTAAAGTGCTTCCAGTTCGTTGGTTGGGATATGCTGGGATGATGGATCAAACGCTCAGATCGGTGAGGGTACCATATCTCATGGCGACCAACCATTGGCAGGTGCTGGATAGAGGGTTCACTGTGTGACAAATATTCCATGTGTAGAGTGGGTGGTGAAAAAAACAATTAAAAACAGAGCAAGAGGTCGCCAGTGAGTGGCGAGGGGAGTTGCTGTTTGTCCGAGTTTGCGGTATATTTTTCCTGTTGGGGTATTCCCCGACGCCGGTTCATGCAGTTTATATAGGCAGACTTCCTGTTTGAGGCTGCTACCACCTTCATTTTGGAAATGCCAAACCGACGCCCTCATACCCACAGCCAGCCCAAAGCAATCAGACCATGTCACCAGCACCAGTTTGCTTTCCCGCTCAGGCGATGAACATATCCAGAAAGTTTTGCAGGCTTCAGGACGTCAAGGTGCTGAGCAACAGATGTCACCTGGCCAAGCTAGTCCCTCCAGGTGTTTCTTAAACTTATGTTCGAAGACAATTGGGCAAGGAGGTCTCAGAGAAGCCTGCATGCACCAGGTCTTTGTTGCGCCATCCACTGTTGGATGTTGTTTGGGTCTTTTTCGGGTATGGTTGGAGCAGGTCCCGCTAGACTCACTAGACCACCTCTATATATATAATCTTGGGCACATTATGGAAATTGTACGCGAACCTTTGGGTGCTTTATATACACTTCCGGGAGTGCTTGAGGTTCCATTTGAATGGCTTCGGTGAACTTCGGTGGTGAAAGATTACCAAAGCAAGTCGTACCCTTTGACTCGATTATATATCCATTGGAGTTTAACTAGCAGCAGGGGGAAGAATATGTTCTCACAAACCAGTGGTTTTCCACTTGATTGAGTGAGACAATGGTGGAGCCACTTCCAGGGTCCACCTTCAGAGTCCAGTTTTGGGAACTGAGGGTTTGGGCCAAGGGTTGCAGGCTTGACGGGGGGCGGCATAGCGGAAGGACGGATAAACTGTGCAAGAGTTGGTATACCAGATGTGCACCGGCTTGTCTTACTGTATAGTATGATTCGGAAAGCAGCAATCCTTAGATTTGAACCACTTCTTGATACACCCACCCAGTTCGCCCGATTACCATACGTAGCAGTGTATTTGCGGCTCATTGCGGCCGCACTCGCACCACCGGCATGAGGCTCTATGATGTGCTGTGGCGACCAACTGAACTTCAGAGTAAGGCTGGGATGATTCAAAAACTTGGATTTGCAGTTGGCAGAGGAACAAGTCTCATCCATACCACAGAAAGTATTGTATTGTTCCTTGTGAACAGCATAGCCTTTGGGCTCTAGACCTCATAGGGGGATTGGGGTTCCCTCCCCCGAAATAGGATTAAAACTGTCAGACCAAGCTAACTTTGGCAAGCCAGCCATGTATGTTTACTGACGTTTACTGTACATATGTTTGCGTTTATTTGCAATCAGTGCCTTGCATAACACTCAGGGCGCGGCCCAAGCGCTGGTCTTGGGCAGCAGCAGCGCCCTGCAGAAGTTAAACGCTGAAGGCGTCCGCTGTGAGGAGCTTCCGATGGAGGAGCAGGCAGAGCTTGAGCAAAGGTGTGGGGGGGAATGGAGTGAAACATTGTCAGATGAACAATCCACCATTTGTAAGGAGAATCGATGAGAAGTTGATGAGGGTCGTCTTCCAACCCTCAACCCTCAACCCGCCGGGCAGGATCCTGTTGTTAGCCTTGGATTGTTAGTCCTGGCTTTTAGAGCTTCTGGGAGGCACTGATGAGCCTCTTGCAATCAGAGCCATGGTCGACAGCTGCTTGGAACATTTTGGAACAACCGCTTATTGAACGTGAGACGAAAAATGAGGCGAGAATTCGGCGGGAGAAAAAAAAACTATTGGTACAAATCAGATATGTTCAGATTGGTTACTTGAGACAACCCCCGTAACCTCCTACAGCATCCCCACTCCTTTCTTTGCGTTTGAGGTGGTTCTGGCTGATGGCCTTTTGACGCAAAGCGCTTGGGCAGAGACGCCACCGGTGGGAGCCCTGCCAGGCGGGAACCTGGACGGGCAAGGTGTTGCAAAATGTTGTACATAAAGAGACTTGCAAGGGGAGAATGTGTGTCAGTGTGTTTTGTCTCTTGACCACCGGTGTAGCATGTTTGGCCGCGCTCAAAGGTAGCGTAGAGGTTAAGGAAGATGTGGCAAAACCAAAAGGATTCAAGAAGCTTTGTGATGTTGGACGAAACTCAGTCCACTGACAAGAACCTTATATAGTTGCGTGCATAAAACTGTTTATGATGTTGTTTTCACTTATTCTCAAGCGGCTTAAGCTTTGTCATGTGCATTTGGCATTCTATGGTCCACGGGCTGTATCACACGAGGCGGCGAGCTGAGCGATGTGGCCGTGCTGAACCGGGCCATGGCGCTGACAAAGGCCGTGGTGAGTTCACAGCGAGTTGGTCAGACCTGGGCCTACAACCGCAACTAATATGCGGTTGGGATGCGGCCGATTTGAGATGTTTGCAGTAGAACGAAGCAAAGGGGGTTGTCCTTGTCGAGGCCTTGGCTGTTTCAGGTTGCTTACCAGGTCAAGAGCATGACACCATGGGACACCAACCTCTAAACTTTTATGAAAATAAATATTGTTGCTATCTCTCCGTATCCAACTTCCAAAAGTAAGGTATAGAAACAGTAACAACCAGTCACAAAGGCCAAAACCCCTAGATCCATTGCCACTTTTACCATCCTCGCTTCCTTTGTTGTTCCTTGTTCTTTCCGCACGTCACGCTTTGTGGGCCAGGCCATCGCCAAGATGGGCGTCAAGGCACCGCTGTTGGTCTTCGCCACTTGGGGTGCCCAACCCTTGGCCTCCGAGGAGCTCCATGCACGACGCGCAGGTCCGAGACGGGGTGAACGCTTCGGAATGGCATGAGAGGTGGCGGTTCTTTTTCGGCTGGTGAGGTTGCGGTCGGATAAGAAGATGGACGGCGCTTGCCCGCATCGGCGTTCTCGAATAGTTACATATAGTTACTAACTCCTGGAAGTCCAATGTCAGCACACGATATGAATCGATATTAACCGATAGTTTCTGCCCGTTTTTTTTGATGATTGATTGCCTTCCCTTAGATCCATGTTGATGGTTTCATCATCAAAGGCGCAAGTGTATATACTCAAGATGGCAGACCTGTTTTCCAGCCAAACTGTTCAGGGTAGCAACAATTGCAAAGGCTGAAGGAATCAGGTGCAGAGGGAACTTCCCTTTTTGTTGATGTATACAAATGGACTTGACTCGACAATCCAAACTAGTTGAATGAGGGCCGCGGGTTTTGTTGACCCCCATAAGACGATACAGAGAGTTGAAACACATCACCCACTATTATAACGAGTGTGACATTAACATTTCAGGTCCAGGAAAGCCTTGGGTGAAAAGGACAAAGGATCAAGAGCTTTGGTCAGTCAGTCAAAAACCCAAGACCGTTGGGTCAAACAAGCATCTTCAAATAACACCAGCATGATCCTCTTCTTGTGATTCTTTGACCCCAAGATAAAAATAGATGAATATCCAAGGCCAGAAAGGTCTCCCCAATTACCCAGTAGGTGACTTTAAAGAACCAAGTCATTGACCAACCTCTCCCACACCAATACAAACGCGAACCTCGCTTGTCGCTCAATGGTCAGGTCGTCCGGACCACAGCGGTTTGTGGGGCTTCGCGCGGGCAGTGCGGATGGAATACCCAGGCGATAGGGCGCAGGATGGGCTGATCTTCCAAATGGTCGACGGGAAAGTGAGGATGAACAAAAAAACACAAGGCGTTTTTGTATGTTTGGACTTGTTGATGGGACTTGTATTTCTGCTGCCCACAGCTGAAGGACATCCAGAGCGGCTTGGACCTCCTGACGCGAACTAAACCAAACAGTTTGTGCAGGCAGTTGTGTCTTGAACAAATATATATATATATATGTACTGTGTATATATATATATATAGCAGGCCCCGAACAATAGAAACGATGTCCAACACATTTTATAAGAGGACGGGATGTAATTTAGTTTGGGGTTACGATACTGCTTGAAATGTTCTCTTCACCGACTGTTGCAAGCACCTTGGTGAAAAGCCTAAGTTCCCTACGTTCCGTGAAAGCGAACGTTGAAGCTGAGAATTGACTCCGTAGAGGAACCCTCCTCTTCGTCCCCCTCACTGAAGGCTGTGGATGTTGAAGACCTGGGTTCGAATTGGGAGACCCAGCCCAGGTCTTTGGTGGTTTTTGCTATAGCACCCGTGTCATTTATCAAAGCTTTGTGCATAAATATGTATAGCTGTAACCCTCGCTTGGGGTTTGTCGCTTGTGCCATGTGCCACACAATTGGAAGGTAGAATGGGGACGTGGGGCAAATCTAGATCGGCAAAACCTGTCAGCACCTTTGGGTCGTGACGGCAGCATTCGCTTTTATTTGTGGTGGCTCTCTCTCTATATATATATATATAGACACTGTATATTATACTACAATACTATATATCAAGAGAGAGAGAGAGAGAAAAATATCCCAAGTAGTGCAAGATGCAGTCCATCCTTTTGGGCCCTCAAGAAACCCAGTATATTATCAGTATATTCAACCAAGCTTTGAAACGAGCTGGGTGCCCAGCTGCCTAGCTGCACCTTGCTGAAAGACTAAACCCCAACAAATATCTAGCAAATTCAGGATTTCCTGATTTCGGAGGAGGGGGATGAGTCTTTCAAAAAGAACTCGATGATTGCTTTGCCTGGCTTTGCCCCATTTCAACCACCTTCCTGGCAGTGTTGAGGTGCACTTCGCTTGACCTGTGTCGACTTGGATGCGTCCAAGGACTCGAATCAGGCCGTTGTCCAACGATTCTGCAATTTCATATGCAAAAAATTGTTGTCATGTGTTTGGAAAGTCTTCCTTAGCTCATAGGCTTCTCGGTGTCCTGCCGGTGTCCCTAAACAGCCCGGGTCATTTGTGACGTGTTTCTTGCAGGAGGCCAGCGCTTGGACGCAGCTCAATGCGGCAGTGTCCTCCTTGGGCGACGAAGAGGAAGTGGCTTTGCGGGAAGAAGCGAAGTGTGCCAGGCCGTCGGGATGACTCGGATGCACTCCCGTGCGATCTACGCAAAAGAAAATCAGGAAGTGCACCTGGAGGAGACGTTCACGGTCCAAAGCGAGCAAAGGAGTCATATTCAAGCTACGATATATCTAATAGCCGGCTGAGCTGGTTCCGGGCCGCTGTTTCACCACTACATTATTCTTGGAGAGTTTTGTTTGAGGCATTCGTGGATGATCAGTAGACAATCTCAATGATCATTACATATAACCAGGACATGTGCAGTACTCTTGGGACTTATCCTGCAATCACCCAAAAAGTACGCAACCCATTACCTTGCCAGCAAGCCACTGTTCACCAGGTTGGCCACTGTCGCCCACTAAAGGAATGTGCCATGATGTGCCAGAATTGGACTACTCATCATGCACAAGAGAAAGACTTGCAGAATTGCCAGTGCCACCTTGCAGAATGAGGGACGGATGAAGGAATCACTTGACTAAGCTGAATTCCCCATGCAAAGCCCATCAGCAATTGTGCCAGCCTGATACTCAGCCATGGGCCTTTTCTTTTGCCCAGCTGCTGTAAAGGAAGCTGGAAGAACACTTTTCTGCACATGCTCGCTCTATTGGCCTGCAACATGACTGCCCCATGCTGCAGGTTCTAACTGCGGGGAACAAGTTACAATGTGATCGTTACCGTGCAGGATATTTGATCCTGTGATAACAATTGTTTTGAGTCGTGGATGCTCATTACAAGTCTTGCTCACTAAACTAAACAAACAGGTGCGGCGATTGAGCTTTACACATGTACAGATCGACTTGTACCCGGCATACACTCGGGATAGTTTGCAGCAAGCAATGTTAGGCTGTCCGGCCTGATATTCGGCTGTTCAAACTTGTGCCCATCAGTAAAGTTGTAAAGGAAGCCGGATGAGATGCCTGCTTGCCCTATTGACCCGTCATGCTAACTGCATTGCGGGTGAAGTCGCAAGTTGGTCAGGAGAGAGCAACCGTGAAATGTATCAAGGAGCTACGAAGGAGTTTCCCAACCACTTGCTAGTGTTTGTCATGTTCTTTCTGCCAGCTCCTCAAGCCATGCCGCGTACTTTCACTCTTTGCAGGATCAGGGTGTGATTTGGAGGGGAATGTGTTTGAAACCTGCTTGCCGGCCTGATACTCAGTCCCTGGCCCTTTCGTTGCTCAGTGGCTGTAAAGGAAGCTGGAAGAAAGTGTTGGAACTGCCCGCTCTATTGACTTGCGACAGTGTGACTGCCCCACTGCGCAGGTGCTAACAGCAAGCAACAGCACTATCATATGCTCGTACAATGTTCGGTGCGACCGCCCTTGTTGGGTGTTCGGTATCAAACCATAGTGGGATGTGTATGGGTCACCAACCACATATTACTTTATAAGAACTGCTGGGAAAGATCAATGTTTATGATTTATGACTATATATACTGTAGTATAGAAGACTGCAGACAGAGTCAAAATATGCGAGATCTTTCTGATCCGCCTCTATGCTTAGGTAGATGTCTTGAATGTGTGGGTTACATAGTTGAACTGGCCGACAGCGTTTGTTTGTAGATATCTTTTCCACTATGCCAAGACCAACGTCTCCTCGGGGGCTGGTCTTGCAGAGAGAGAGGGAGAGAGAGCGGGGGGAGAGAAGAACACAAAACGTATGTGGGCGGATACGTTTCAAAACACTTCTCCCTCCAATTGACTTTTTAGTGGCCAAGACCAACCGGCTGAGCAGGGAGGCTGTGAACAACTCAACAGAGCCTTCTTTATGCTTCAGCTGTGGTTGGAGTTTGGAACATCTGGAACCCCCCGACCGATTTTATTGCGCAGATTTGAAAGGTGAGATACGGGGTCCTGAATATTTCAGAACGACGCGGCATCAATAATATCAAAAAGTATGATGCAGCTTCATGTTTGCCTATTGTTTTTCCGCCCCGCAGATATTGTGCCTAAGGGCCTAGGCTTGTGCATTTGCGAGACGAATCTCCCATTTGCACCTTCCCTAACTCTTACAGAGACATACCATGGGACTGGGTATCGATATCGTCGGACCAACAAATAAGCGCGGAGGCAGACTGCTTCCTTTTTACCATCCATGTTTTCAGTCCTTTTTCTCAGTTCATTCGCCAAGTCCACCAACAGATCCCACATCCCCCTCTTTGTTACTCGGAGGCTGGCCCGCTCGGTGGTGAAGTACACTGGTGCCCTGCGGCTAAACATGCCCGCGCGCGGCTCACTGACTGGGCTGCGCTGCGTCCCCCAGGCAGATACCGCAAAGGGCTCGGCTGTGGCGCCGACTATGGCGCAGCTGAGAATCCGAGCGGTGGGCTTGAACTTCCGAGATGTGCTGAACGCCACTGAGTTGTGGATTTAGATCATATTTCATGGGTAGTTGGTGGCAGTGGACATTGAAGGAAGCGGGAGGAGCGTGTGGATGGGCTGTTTGTTGTTCAGCAATTTGGGAGAAGATGTTGAAAAAGAGTAAGATACTCAAAAAGTTTGCTCCTGCTTTGGCAGGTTGGACCTACGTCAGTATGAAGGGAATAATTTTGAACATCCACAGGCTTCTTGCTGGAGGAATGAAACTTGATACCTTCGTACTGACATCCTTTTGAAGTGCTGCTTATTATATCGTATATACATACTATGTATGATTTTTGGAGTTTGACCTGTGGGCAGATGGGCAATGGTACACCCAAAAGGAGCACGCCTTTCGATTGAAAGACAGATACCTGACCTGGAAGACTGCCCCCCCAAGGGTACACTTGTAGAGTCCCCTTTCCAGCAGAAATGGTTGAAATGATGTTAAAAGTACAACAATTCCAAAATAGCTCCTGAAAAAAGACCTTGTCCACCCAGCCATCGGCTGTTCACCAGAAGATCAATGGTTTCAATTAGATTCGATCAATTAGCAGTTTGACAGTTTGTGTTTGTTTGTGATTTGCTTCACTCGATCTGGGGTCTAAGGTCATGGGCCTGTACCCCGGCGACCCCGGGCCGCCTGGTGCCGACTGCGGTGCCACCGTGCTGGGACTCGGGGAGAATGTGAAGCACCTGCGCTTGGCGGAGGATGTCTTTGGCGAGTCCCCGGGATGTACCTTGGTGTGGTGAAAGGATGTGAAAGGTGTAAAGAGTGGGGCATATCTGGTGCGAAGCTAAGCCAACTTCTTTTCTTTAGCTTCCCGGGAACTGAGCGAAAGGTTCTTTTGACGGATGTTTACGGTGTCGAATGGAAAGGCAAAGCCCTTGCACCTGAACCCGAAAGTGATTGAGGACCCGGCCGCCCTTTGCAGCAAGGAGATGTTGGATCGAAATTCAAGGGCATGGAGCATTCGTTTGCGAATGTTTGCTCGTGCAATGAAGTCCAGCTCCCAATCGACATTCTTTGTAGGTACGATTAATCATTGTTTTACCAAAACGTACCTTCGAACCTTTCTTCCGAGGCTGCGGCTTGCAGCCACCCAGAATTTTGGGGCAGACTTGAGTGCAAGAACCCGACCCTGAAGATGTTCCCACTGAGGAATCCTCTTCGATGATTCGATTCTTTGTGGTTTACGAATCGACGGCACTTCAAAGAGTATAGCCACAAGCGAAACAAACGAACCTCGGAACCATTCTTTTGGCAGCATCTCCCCCAAGGGTTGCTCTCCCCCAGGAATCAGGCTCCAACTTTAGCTACAAGTGCTTTGCAACCAACTACAGTTTAAGTCTACAGTAGGAAGCTGCTGTCTGGATATGGAGGTTTCCCAAATGTTCACTTCGCTCTCAAGATCAACCCACACGCTCTCGCTTCGACCCCAGCCTGTCAACATAAAAGGAGCTGGGACATCATATTCGTTCAAGTTTTGACCCACAAGAAGTTTTGCATAGGGGCCACTAGTGGGGCCACTCTGTCAAAGCAATGCACCAGGTTTGAGCACCTACAACACTAGCTCGGCGGCCTTGCTGACCCAAAAGCCCAGCTCCTGGAGCTACGAAGAGGCGCACGGACGGTGTTGCGGTGTCGGTGGTCAGGTTTTCGATAGACGGAACATGAAGGAAGTTGGAAGTAAGCGTGAAGTTGAACACCAACATGCAGGGTGCTTGCAGGTGGCCTCTAAGATCCATGGGCTCTTGGTGTAGGACCCTAAAAGCACACCGTGTTCGATTCTCAGAATATGCTGGTGGGACCATTGGAAGACTACGAGTCGCAGGGACATCTTCCATTGCCTGGCCAGTATCCAGGAGTGCTGTGCGTTGTTGGTTGTATGAGACCACAGGCCCAGTCTAAGCTTCAGGTAGCTAGACCCTCCAAACCCACCCCAAACATCCCCAAACACTTTCAACAGAAGTAATTAGTTGGATCTCAGGTTACTCGGGTTTGGCTTGGATGCTGTGATTCAATGGCCCATGTTGCCCAGGCCTGCTGCATGCCAGTGATCTTCGTGACTGTGGAAGAGGCGCCTGTTGGGTAGGTGGTTGGTTGGGTGTCAAGAAATTTGGGCATTTGCCAATGAATTGATTACAGTATGCTATGCCTCAACAAGAACTATCCTGGAATCCTCAGCACGGAACATCATCTGAAACCACTGGGCTTCTTATTTTGCAGGCCCGTCGATGTATGCTGCCTTAATGCGACCATTGTTCAACGTTAGACAAATCGAATAACTCATCGTCATCACCATTGTCGTTGGCGTCAGCGTTGGCGCCAGTGTCGGCATTGGCGTCGTTTGCGTCAGCGTCATCGCCATCGTCGTCATCATCAACAGCACCACTTTTGTGAGAAATTGGATGGATGATGGATCCAAGATGTGTTTATGCAAGCGTTTGCGCTGGTACCATTGGGGTTGCACTTTTAGAGATATTGGCAAAATGCAAAAGAATCAATAGTGTTTTGTGAGGCCGTGAGGCCTGTGGTATATCCCACTTAATGCGCTGCATAGGAACAAGTGCTGCATCGCCCCGTTTAACATAAATATTGTGGTCCTCCTTCTTCTGGTGGTACGGATCTCTTCCGCAGGGCTCCAACTCAGAAGGTACAACTTGGAACCCTAGACAAGGGCTTAGTTGACACATGTAGAACCCTTCCTCGCACATAATTAATGATGCATGTCTATCATTGATGCAGCAAAAGGCATACAAAACAGATCACACCTAAATAGGTGTCAAAATTCCTTCAGTTCAGTGAGAAGACTAGCTTCACCGTCCGATATGATGAGGCCTTGGGAGATCTGGCACAGTTGAAACGTGGGGAACGGGTGCTCATCCATGCTGCTGCTGGTGGCGTCGGCCTGGTGGCCATCCAGTGCTTTGGCCGCGGATCCGGAAAGACTTATCCCCGGTGGATGGAGCAAGCATGAACAAACAGAAAATTCCAACTGTTTGCAAAGTACAAGTTTGAGTAGAGCCCCTTTTCCAGAAAGCAAAAAGAAGATACCGACAAATCCAAATGACCAAGCGCCGTACAGGGCGAAAAGTGCGAATCACCACTGTCCGCCACTGTCCGCCCAAACAGAGGGTTCAGCAGCGGTCTTTTCCAGGTTTGACACTGTGCTGGTCGCGAGTTCCTTTCGAAAAGTGCTGAAACTACAGTTGGGCTTGGACGGTTTGTGTATTGCAGGCCGAAATAATCCCACCAAAAGGATCCACTAGTGGAAGGAGGATGCCCAAAAGTGGTCAATCATTGGTGGCGGAAGCCGCGAGTCGAGCAGTTTGGAAGGAGGAAATCCACCATTTGCAGGATGGCCTGCAGTAGCTAGCGAAGAAAGACGTTTGTCTTGAAACACATCTCCTTCAGTGGAATCATGAAAGATTGTAATCAAAAGGATATTCAGCTAACAACCCTTGCATTTTCCGAGTTTCGGGGCTGCAGTTGCCTTCTAGCATTCAGCCTTTCTTGAGGACATCCTTACAATCTCAAGTGCCCTGAGTCCAAGAAGTGCAGAATAATGATGAGGGTTGGTTCAGCAAAATTTCCAAACACTGGGTTACTACTGAGTTACTGTAATCAGATCTGATCAAGAGTCCGGGTGTGCTCTTTTCTTGTTCCCAGTGCGTGGGTAGCGTTCTGGCATCCTCAATAGTGCGTCCAGAGACACTTGGTCCCTGCTTCCCTGAGGTATGCCAAGTTCATTGGCGCAGAGGTCTATGCCACAGCAGGCGCTGAGGAGAAGCACGAGTTCTTGAGAAAGATGGGAGTCCTTTGGCAAAGCATACGACAAGAAAGATCCACCAGGTACAGTAACTTCCACAATGGTGACAAGACAAGACTGACAAGAGCCAGACCAACAGCTCCAAGAAGAACAGCAAAAGCTTGCACAGGCATAGGTGAGTCAAGTGCCTATAAAATACTCCTCCACACACACAATGTGCTGAGGCTGAGGGTTGTACTGTATATGAATTGTGCCCATATCATGAGTCATCGTATGTCAAATCCGGCATCGTGGGAGTCAACATGTTCATTCCCGGGTTCGTGGCAGAACAGTGCAGAGTACCGTTAGTAGGAAGCCTTGCCAAACCGACCAAAATAAGGCTTGTCGAGAGCATCCTTATTTCAGCTAAAGCTGCAAAACAAGAAGGCAAGACCAGATGTGTAGTCTCCACCTGTTTATTTTGATGGCCAGCGATCACCATCACCAGCTGATGTATCTAAGGTGAAGTACATTACGAGCAGCCGCAATGGCAACAAGTTTGAGGAGGACATGAAGAACTTCCTCAAGGAGATGCTACCAGCCATGGTTGAAAGCCTGGTGTTCGGAGTGCGGAAGCATGGTCGAAGACCTTGAATCTCTTCAAGGATGTGCATAAACAAATGTTGTCTCTGTATGGGACAAATCATACCATTCAATACATAGATCATCCCATATTCATTCACCGACACGAGACCATGGTTTGACCTGGTTTTCATCAGCGTTGAACAGGCACAGCTATGATGTTGTGGCCGAACTGGCTTCACAGACTCCCAGACTCCCAAGTAAGTCCCCAGATGCTTCCAGAAGTCTCAAAAACAATAAGGCCAGTCAGTGGCATTCTCAGGTTTGAGACTTTGAGAGAGAGCTCACTGAAAGCAGGAACTAAGAGCTCGATGAAGCCTCGATCCATGGAAACACCCCTCTTTTGCCATGTTTAAATGTTTAGGGTGGATATCCTCGGGGCAAAGGAGTCAAACGTGAAAGGCATGGAGGTTGAAGTAATTTTAAGGCTGTGGAGAATATGGTATAAGCTTCAGAGTCTGACAGTGTAGGAAGATTAAGATTGATAGACAAGCAGCAAGCAAGTTTGTCACCTCAACTACGACAGAAGCTGGTAAACAAAGTGTCTTTGCAACTATCAGGTGGTGCCAAGGTAGATTTTGAGAGCTGCCAGGAGCAGGGAGCAGATGGCCTTGATGTGGTGCTGAACAGTCTCAGTGCCTTGGCCACCTTGGAGGGCGACAGCGGCGACAGCGATGGTTTGGACTCCAATCACTACAGGTCCTATGTCATCCGAGCCTTGCATAATTTCTGTCACTAATGTCACGACTTGAAATATAAAGCACTACAGAACGGGCCAGCGGACTCCATCAATATCCTATATACAATTTATCACCGAACTAATGAATGACAACCGGAGATCCTATACCAGTGAACCTTCCAAACACTGTATACAAAGGGGTGTCAAAATCGTGTGCTTTACCACGCATCAATAATATTAGTCAAACATCTCATATGATAGGAAAAGAAGGGACAAATATAATCCAACATTTAGTCTTCCAGAAAAGGAAAAGTGGATTCTCATAAATTCTCTATACATTCAAATTAAGTTTAGAAAAATTGATCCACTTCACATGTTTATTTCATTCGCTAGTTTAAAAATGTCTAAAACTATCCCGGCAAGAGACCCCAAACAGTGTGTGTGTATGAGGTCCAGAGGTAGCAGCAGAAAGTCTAGAGATCTAGACGCATTGGGGTCCAGAGAGGTGATGGTCGTGATGAAGGAGGAGATCGTGGTGATGGGTGGGTGGGTGGGTGAGTGATTGAGCGAGTGAGTGAGCGAGGGAGTGAGTGAGTGAGTGAGGGAGTGAGCAAGTGCGTCGGGGAGTGGGTGGGTGAGTGAGTGAGTGAGTGAGTGGCTGGGTGAGTGAGTGGGTGAGAGTGAGTGAGAGTGAGTGTGAGCGTGAGCGTGTGTCAGTGAGAGTGAGTGTGAGCGCGAGTGAGATTGAGAGTGAGATTGCAAGTGAGATTGAGAGTGAGATTGCGAGTGAGATTGCTAGTGAGATTGAGAGTGGGATTGAAAGCGAGATTGGGAGTGAGATTGAGATTGAGACTGAGAGTGAGATCGAGAGAGTGAGAGTGAGAGTGAGAGGTGAGGGTAAACTGCTGCGCCTGCCACGAAATCTGCACTTGGAGGTTCACAAAGTGCTGCGCGCCATGAAATCTGCACTTCGAAGTTCACAAGTGCGGCGCCTGCGAAGAAATCCGCACTTCGAGGTCACAAAGTGCGGCGCCTGCCACGAAATCTATACACTTCGAGGTTCACAAAGTGCAGCGCCTGCCACGAACTCTGCACTTGGAGGCTCACAAAGTGCTGCGCCTGCTACGAAATCTACACTTCGAAGTTCACAAAGTGAGGCGCCTGCGACAAAATCCGCACTTCGAGGTTCACAAAGTGCTGCGCCTGCCACAAAATCTACACTTCGAGGTTCACAAAGTGCTGCGCCTGCCTCGAATTCTGCACTTGGATTGCCACGAAATCTACCCTTCGAGGTTCACAGACTGCTGTACCTGCCACGAAGTCTCCACTTGGAGGTTCACAAAATGCTGCGCGCTCCACGAAATCTGCACTTCGAAGTTCACAAAGCGCTGCGCCGGCCACGCAATCAGCACTTGGAGGTTCACAAGTCGCCGCGCCTCCAATGAAATCTGCACTTCAAGATTCACATGCAGCAGCCCTGACAAGGCGTTTCGCCGCAGAACGCTTCCAAAGACAACGTACAGATAATACCAAAACGCAGCTTTCGTGCGGGGCGTCCCTCGATTTCTGCAAACGAGCCACATGTCCAAAAGTCACGATTCACTGCACCTGTCACGAAATCAGAGCGCATCGAACATCACCACCATGTCCAAAGTGCTGTGCCTGCCACGAAACCTAATTTGGAAGTCACAAAGTCGACTTTGGACCACCAAAACAGGAGCTTTCCCTTGTGCCTGCCACGAACAGTGACCACCATGTCCGAAAATGCGCGCGGCGCGACAATGAGAGCGCAGTCACGACCAGCACCCACCGCGGCCAAGCAGATTTTGCGAGCCTGCGCAGCCGAAATGCACTTCCAAGGGTTTAGATGCATGAATGTATTGTAAATAGCGCAACCTTGATTAGACACCTGCACACCTACCGTAAGAAGTGTGTTCACACTGTTTGGGGAAAAATATCCCGGCAAGAGACCCCAAACAGTGTGCGTGAGGTCTACAGGTGTACCGGCAGAGAGTCTAGAGATCTAGATGCATTGGGGTCCAGAGAGTTGATAGTGATAGTGAGTGTGAGTGAGATTGAGAATGAGAGAGTGAGAGTGTGAGTAAGAGTGAGTGAGAGTGAGTGAAAGTGAGAGTGAGAGTGAAAGTGGTGAGTGAGAGTGTGAGTGAGAATGAAATTGAGGCTGAGAGTGAGGGTGAGAGTGGGAGTAAGAGTGAGTGAGAGAGAGAGAGAGTGTGGGGGTGAGTGTTCGTGAGAGAGTGAGAGTGTGAGTGAGAGTGATTGAGAGTGAGTGAGAGTGTGCGCGAGAGTGGGTGAAAGTGACAGAATGAGAGTGAGAGTGAATGAGAGAGTGTGAGAGAGAGAGTGTGAGAAAGAGAAAGAGACAGAGACAGAGACAGAGAGAGAGAGAGAGAGTGAGAGTGAGAGTGAGGGTGAGAGTGAGAGTGAGAGGGAGAGTGAGAGTGAGTGTTGCGAGAGAGTGCGTGTGAGTGAGCGTGAGTGAGAGTGAGTCAGAGTGAGTGTGAGTGAGAGCCAGCGGGTGAGAGTGCGAACGTGAGTCAGAGCGAGTGTGAGCGTGAGTGTGAGCGCGTGTGAGTGAGAGTGAGAGTGAAAGAGGCATCTCAAAGACTGCCACGAAATCTGCACCTCGAGGTTCACAAAGTGCTGCCAGCCATGAAATCTGCACTTCTGTCACGAAAAGTCGACTTTGGACCACCAAAATGCGAGCTTTCCCCTGTGCCTGCCACGAAAAGTGACCCCCATGTCTGAAAATGCGCGCGGTACTACAGCGAGAGCGCAGTCGCGACAACCCGCCGCACACACACACACAGATTTTGTGAGAGAGAGAGAGTGTGAGAAAGAGAGAGAGAGAGAGAGAGTGAGAGTGGGAGTGAGAGTGAGGTGAGAGAGTGTGTGAGAGAGTGTGTGAGTGTGAGCGAGCGGGAGGCGAGTCAGAGTGAGTGAGAGTGAGAGCCAGAGCGGGTGATAGTGTGAGCGTGCGTCAGAGTGAGCGTGAGCGCGTGTGAGTGTGAGTGTGAGTGAGAGCGAGGGTAAGAGTGAGAGAGAGCGAGCGAGAGTGAGAGTGAGCATCTCAAAGCCTGCCGCGAAATCTGCACTTCGAAGTTCACAAAGCGCGGCGCTTGCCACGAACTCTGCACTTGGAAGTTCACAAAGTACTGTGCCTGTCACGAAATCTGCACTTCAAGGTCCACAAAGTATTGCACCTGCCACGAAATCTGCAAACGAGCCACATGTCCACAAGTCGCGATTCACTGCACCTGTCACGAAATCAGAGCGCGTCGAAGATCACCACCATATTGCCCCTGTCACGAATAGCCAACTTTGGACTTTCAAAAAGCGAGCTTCAGCCACGAAAAGTGACCCCCATGTCCGAAAATGCGCGCGGTACCACAGCGAGAGCACAGTCGCGATAAGCGCCCGCCGCACACACCCAGATTTTGCAAGCCTGCGCAGTCGAAATGCACTTCGAGGATTTCGAGAGGCATGAATGCACTCTAAATAGTTGGCGCGACACCTCGAGTAGACACCGGTGCTTAACTATGACCGTAAGAACCCTAGTGTGTCCACACTGTTTGGGGAATGATTTCTGATCATAAAGGCTTAGGAATCTATTACTATATTTATTCTTTGGATTCATCTTTGGAATCTCCGGCATATTACACAATATGATTTTTTTAATAAGAATAGAGTTGTATTCTTCGGGAAACGGGATCATACCTTCAGAAGAACAGAACTTCTATCATGTAAGCCTTCCATTGCGTGGTTTGACTTGTGATTTTCTTTTTAGTCATGCCTGGCTTGTTTGGAGGACATGGAAATTCTATTGCACCGATCTGTCCAAGGTCTCCAGAAGTGGTATATGCTAGACTTGAGAAAGTTTGCTCCAACATGATATTGACGAGCCTATTGACAAAAATTATCCATCTTGATTCTGTTGGTTTCATGTCTTTTCCTAGTCCTTTCTTTCATCTCAGAATCAGGGCTTTGGGCTTTGCAACAATGGTCATGGTAAATAACAAGGTGCCTTGTAGACACGCAAAATTAAAAGATAAATATATATATATGTATATACATACTATATATATATATACGGACACCCGATCGAAACGAAGTCCCGTGTTGTGACGGCCGTCGTAACAAATTTGTACAAAACCTTTGGGATATGGTTCCCATGGTTCTCAACTGTTCTCTAAACATGTTAAAGCACTTCCAAACTGCTCAAAAACACGAAGACGCTATTCCATTCAGTTTGTACACAAACATGTAAGTCATGTAAGCCTCAAAGGCTACAAATTAGACATTAAGTTCACACGCAGTCAAAACATGGCGTGGAGGCTTCGCTCTCCACATTCCAGTGAAAAGCCAAAAAGACTGTCCAAGCATGTGGGCGGTTAAGTCGGAGGGTGGACAACCGACCCTGATGCCTAGGGCAGCAAAGCCGGAAAGAGTGAAAATAGTCAGTCGCAGATCCACAGAGACTTGCAATGCTCTTCAATTCCAGATGGTTGGCGCACATGGTGGGTGAGGCATACAGTTGACAACCAGGTTTGCGCGGAAGCCTGAAAGTGCGATTTGCCCTTGTGCAGTGCATGGGGAAACCGACAATGGCACCCTAGGGCAGCAGAGTCGGTGGGAGTGAAAGTTGGTCAATGCAGTGGCTTCCAAAGTGAGCAGGTGAGTCATGCCTCTGAGCCAGATTTAACATGTTTGGTCAAAATTCCCATGGGTCCACAGCAAACAGCCCTTGTCAAGATGGCGGATGAACGGGGGATTCCTTAAAAAGTGGAAATGGGACTCGAGTCCAAGCTAACAACAGCAAAAACAACAACAGCAAACCCAAGAATCCATTCTACATTAAATGAATCATATATGTTTTAATTTATACTATTCATTCTGTTTTGATGACCCCTTGGACCCTGTCCAGCTACCTTTCCCCAATTGCTCCACCCAGGCCACGACGACTACATCGGCCGCTCCTTGGCGTTGCTGAAGCCTGGTGGTCGCTTCGTGGAGATTGGCAAGCGAGGCATTTGGAGCCACAAGCAGCTCCCTGGCCGCAGAGCGGCGATCGGGATGTATGTTTCGTGTTTGTATTTTCCAGGATGAGCCTGCTGAAGGTGAGATGGGTTAAAACATCCTTTCGCCACTTCAGGATCCCAACCAGCGAGCCTTACTTTCCAATGGGTTACTTTGGGACCCACATGGCTTGGATCACAGGGCATGGGGATTTGGTGAAGAGTTCGGATCGGGTGGTAAAAATGCGCACCACCAGAGCTCGTGTCCATTTGTGCACTGCACTGGATTCAGGGGCCAGAGCTGCTGCCATTCATTCAAGGTCTTCAGCTCAAGAGCCAACGTGCGAGCGCAGAGTTTTCTGTCAGAAAGTAGGTCGACTGAAGACTAGATGCCCTTTCCAAGCGTAGAATGAGTAAGTGAAAATCATCAAATCATAAACGTGACTGGTACATGCTTTTGACCCTGAGAGAATGGTGGGAAACCAAGAGCTGCGCAGTTTTTCAACATCGACCCGGGTCGACCGAGGATGTTTGAAGCACGTGCCTCGCCAAAAAGCAGCCTCGTCCTGCCAGAGAAGGGAGAGGTGTCTAGAAGTTTCTAGATGCTATGTCTTTGGAAATGGTGGTTGTTAGCCACCACGGTGCTAACTGGTTTTGCTGGGAATTAAGTTTACGAGCAACATGCCCACACAGCTATGATAAGTTGTTGCGCTGCACTGACAGCTAGGCGACACCCTGTATCATTGTGTGATGGTTTGGCGCAATGACTGCAAGATGCTCCAAGACTTCAAGGGTATTTTTGTTCAGTTAGAATAACGAAGCAAGTACTTTGCAATCATCCAAGCCAACGCAACAATCACCTTTGAGAGAGCGAATATTCAAACTTCTCCTTTGAAACCACGATTGAGAGAAAGATTGCAAGGAAAGGATGTGTTTCTTTAATGGTTAAATGAGAAAACAAGTGTGTTGTGTACGAGATACTCCACAGTCTCCTGTAGAGCTTGATACAAAAGATGAAAGATGCCTTTGATTGCTTCATGAGGTCCAGATGTGATGTACGAGAAGATCGCTGCAGACACCATGATGGAGAAGGACGGAAATTGATACAGGTGGTTAGGAGACATATATATAATATAATATAACATTATATAACCATCATGAACGGGGAGATCCATGAAGCCAGTTATATAGAGACATTTGAAGAAGGACCTAAATTTCATATGTTGCATACTGGAGCATGTGTTGGCACAGGAGCCTTGGCGCTACAACGCATACTTGAAGCGCTTGCTGCAACGTGTGGATGAGGGTGCTTTGCAACCGATCAACATGCAACTCAACTCGGCAGGCAGAGGTCATCTGTCGGATGGCCCGTAGACTCCTAGATGGACAAGGAACAGATCCCGAATTCCTGGAGGAAAGTCGCTTGCAGTTCACCGACCTTATTGTTTGTGGGACACCACAAATGACATAGCATTCGAACAGCAGAGGTTTTTGCTTCCTATTGCCTGCCAGCCATTCTCTTCATGTTGTTTGATTTTGTGGGCTAATATGAGGTGACCTGACCCACAGCTGCATAGGTGCAGGTCACGACAAAGTGGGGGATTAATTAGGGAGCTTCTCCTTTCTATTCCCCCCTTGTGGAGCGTGTTCAATTTGCTGTTTTTCCTTTACGCCTCCAAGGGCCTCACTCACCCATGCATTTACTCTATCACCTTGTCACATCCCCAAAGAGGTGCTTTGCAGCAACGAGGGAGGCCCCAAAAGGGCCACACACTGGGAGCTCTCCAGTGACCAAATGGCCAATTGGCAATAAATCTAGCCTATATAATATAATATAATATATATATATATGTACACAGTACACTATTGTCGGATCTCAGCGTTGCTTGGAGCTTCCACTTCAGCACTTCAACATTCTTCGATTGCGCTCTTTGAGGCACACCTTCGAGGGCCTCGAGAAGGGCGTCCAGGCGCTGCAGTTCTTACAGCGCGCCTCGAACATCGGCAAGGTGGTCATCAGCTCAGCCAGTCGTGGCTCGACAGCTTAGCGAAGAAGTGACCTGTGCCGACCAAAAAGCATGGCGTGATGAAGAAACCAGACGAAGAGCTGCCGGCTGACAAGCCTATCGATCCTATGGCTTGCAGGGATTACCTTTGCGCTGAAGCATTCTGAAACTAAACCATGGGAAGCAGATTATATAGTGATTAGTCCAGAAGTCCAGATGCTTATGGCCTCTTGTTAGAGGACAACCTGACAACATGGGCCTTTCACCACTTGCTCATGGAAAGAGAAGTCACCCGGACCTTGAATGTACGTGTGTTGTAACATCTCGTCCTGTAGAATTTAAGAAGACAGATTCGTGGAACATCTCAGACATTTGACCATATCCTCTTTGGTTTCTTGATTTCCCTATAATTAGTCTAGATTCTAGATTCTAGACGCTTGTCTGAATGATAAGACTTGACAAGCTCATCATGTCACCAGCACACCATTTCAGTGGGTCCCACTAGCCCCGGCTCAGAGCACCTTGAAGCACCATGAAGCACCGAGGCTTAGGCTGTGATGCCTTCAGCATGCCGCTGCTCTCGGGTGGCTTGGGCGCCTTGGGCGTGGTCACGGCCACCTTTTTGGTGGAGGAGCCATGGAGATAAACCTGGGTGGTAGGCCTTTCGAAGCTTGCTGGACAGGGCTGTGATGGGTGCAGCCTGTTCGAGGATGCCAGTTGTGGATTCCGTCCACAGCTGCAAAGTTGCAGCCAACGTGAGGACCACATATCTAAGGAATTGTGGGCAAGAGAAGTAATATTCTCATTTTTGGAGCAGCCTAGTTGTTGTTTTCTGATGGTTTATAACATGGTAGGATGTTTCTTCGTGCTACGTCTACGTATCAAACATAGCTGGCATGCTTGTCAATGCTTGCTTCTCCAGGTGTGTGTGTGTGTGTGTTTGTGTCTATCTGAAAGGTGCTTGTTCGCCAGCCTTGAAAGCCCAGTGGCCAGTCAACATCTACAAGCACCAACACCAGTAGTTGGAAAACCCAAAGGAGCTGCCCGAAAGAGGAAAGTTTGTCGGGGGAAGATTTCCCAGGAGTTCCCCTTGAGTACTGTATCTGTAACTAGTTCCAATCTTGCAGCTTCCTACATTGCCGCGTCCTGAATTTCTTGACCCTCGCGTCAAGCATCTTCCAGGAAGGAGCCAAGCATCTTTGTTTGCTGTCGCGAAGTGGGCAGCCCGCAAAGGACTGGACCTCAGCCCGTCTCGCGGACGAGCTATATAGACCAGCATGTTTGAGGAACTCAATTTGTCATGTTTTGTCACTTGACCCAAGGATAAGTTTGTATGACAGATGTTGAGGTATATTTGCTTCAACAGATTGGACTGTTTTCCTTGCACATCCACTTCTTCAGTCCAAACCAGCAGGTTCTTCACCTGGTGAAACATTGCCAGACAACTGCTCCAGACGCGACATGCCACACGAGTGCTGGGCGTTCAGAGGATGTGGGTCCTCAGTGGTCTTGGCTCCAGAAATGTGCCATCGAGCTCAAGGTGGAGAAGTGCGATGTGGGCACCTTCGCTGCCTTTGCTGGCATAATTACGTGTGGAAGGTGGATGGAAGACATCTCGGAGAGATTCATGTAACTACATATATATATATATAGAGAGTTTTATCATGTACTGGAAGTGGAAGCAGTCAAGAAGAGGGTATACACACAGACAGCTTCGGTGTGACCGTTAAATGGAAGATAGTGCATGCAATTATTGATTGACTAGAAGCAGTCAGGAAGAGGGTGCCACAGAGAGCTAGTTGCATAGAGAAAGGACATTGCATGCAATCATTGATCAAAAAGCAGTTAAGTGGGAGATAGTGCACAAATGGAAGCATCCGAGTCCCATGGATGAAATCCTGTTCATCCAAATGGAACATGCAGTGCAGCTGTTTAGCTATGGGGCCTTTCATCGGCCCGACCAAGGAGTGGAGGACTCCGTGGTGGCTCTCCGAGATTCTTTGAAGAAGGGAGGAGCCAACTTTGGGGAGTGCTGTTTTGTGCAGCAAGCTTTGTGGCTGGGAAGGGGTCCAATCCTAAGTTTCTCAAGGAGAACATTGGAGGGACTCAGTTCTTGCTGTGCAGCAGAGTGCAACGATATTCAGTCTACTAAACTTATCGCTATTGCAAACCAGTAATCTTCCCCCTGCGTTGTTCCACTCACCTCCCTGGGTCCCAGTTCCAGCGAGGGTCCCAAAACGGCTGGAACTGTGGGCACCAGGAGTTCAGTTGGGTGCCTTGATGCACCTCGCGGGCGTCTTGGCGGATGGCGTTTTGCCGAGCCTGACCTTGGAGAGTTTGGAGAAGTCCTACGCGCCCAAGGCGACAGGAGATGGGTGAACGTAAGGGTGGAAAAGGGATGTCTAGAGTGTAGAGAGGCATTCTTTGGATGGAGGAGTTGGGTCGGTGGGATGTGAATGCTTGTTTTAACATGGTTTAACTGATGTAGGGTCAGGGTCTGACTTATTTTTGGAATGTTGGGGGAGGTAGATACGAGATGATGATCTTATGTTTCAATGTGAATGTTTGATCTCAAGTCTCTCGAGGGATAGGGGTAGGTTCGACTGTTCATGGTTCGTGGCAGCGAATTTGATCTTCGAGTTGGGTGGCGTGCCTGAACGTGCTGGAGAAGCTGAAGGTTGAGGCAGAGCGCTTGGGCACAGGCTCTTTCGCCTTTGCTTTTTTGTTTTCTTGCTGGTTTGAGAGTTCGGGAATGAGCAGAATATCAAGACCTAAAGAAGGAGATCAAGTTTTTCTCAAACTAGATGAATATTCGCCTTCATGGCGGCAGGCCCTGGTGATACACTGCAGCTCACGAAACCATGTGATCCTTGTAGTGAGAGTGACGAACCCAGAGATAGAAGAAAGAACAGACGAAGTAAGTTTTTTCGAGGCCAAGGGGCAGAAGTTCATTTTAGTCGAGGGAGGAAAAGAGCAGCTGCGACCCACTTGTGCTCATGCACACCGAGCTTTGGAAGTCAGCCCCAGCTTCTTGTTGGAGAAGGGGAAGGAACTTCTGACCAAAGACGAACTTTTGTACGTCACTACTTCGGAAGACCTGCCAGTAGAGAAGACCAAGAGAGAACAAACCCAGAAAGAGGAGATTTCGTCGTCGGACGACTTGGGAGCTTCGGACAGCGAAGGAGAGGATGCCGTCATGAACCTGCTGTTGAAAGCTCAAGGCAGCAGGCCAGAAAAGGCTACCAGTTCCGTGTCAAAGAGAAAAGACAGCGAGTCCAAGACGGTGAGGTACCCGCTCCTAGAAGGGCAAAAGAACCAGAAAAGCGCTTCAGCCGTTGGGTTCGACAAGCTGGTGGAGCGACTCGTTTCTGCCGAGGGCCAGGAGCCAGCAGAGACCAACCTCAACACGCTCCTGAGCTTAGAAGTTCTCAAGTCCTTGAAGGACAAGAAGTCGAAGAGGAGGATGTCAAGCACCGAGCGGTCCAGCGAAAGCGATACAAGCTCGTCGGACTCAGACGACCCGAGGCCGAGAGGCGCCGGGAAGGCACTCAGAGATTTCCGACAAGTGCATCACAAGATGAAGAAGAGACCTTTGAAGCATGTGAAAAAATATGTCAAAGAAGTAGAGGAGAATCTGGGGGTCACCAAACACACCCCCTACAGCCTTTCGGATTACAGCAAGTCCTTGAACTGGGGAAAGAACAAGACACTGATGTGAGTGCACTACGCCGTGTCAAAACTGCTACAGAGTCAGCTCAGTGGAAAGCACGAAAGGGCCAGCTTGCAGGCAGTTCAGTTGCTACGCGCTTTGCACCAAGTCTCTCTGGATCAGGGATCGTGGAAAACCGGAAGCCTGTTGATGTCGCACGCAGACCCTCTCGAACGTCCCAAGTTCGGAGGGGAGCCAGACCAGTTAGACAAGATTGCCTCTTACGTGAAAGCCATGACAGAGCTAGAAAAGAGGAGCCTTCACGGTGGAGGGCAAGAGGACGACAGCCAAGAGAAGAAAGGCCGAGGAAAAGGCAAGAATCGCAGCAAGACCGGGGTGCACGACGAGATCAGCAAAGGGTGTGAGCAGAGTTAATGCACCGAACGCAGAGGGCATCGATGTGTGCTCACTGTTAGGACTAATTAGCAAACAGCATGGTTCTTTTTCGAGATTCATGCGAATCTACAATAGGTCTCGAAACGAGGCGAAGGGACGAACGCCCCACCCAGCTGGGGAGGACACAGTCACATTGTTCCCGTCAATGCTCCCATGGGATAAGCCCCCAGGTAAGTCTAGGAGTAGGAGACGAGGCCCACGTTCAAACGCCAGACGTGCGGCTTTAGAGTGGATGCACACTGCTTGGGGGTTCTTCAACTTTCTAGAGGGGGGTTCGCCCTGCCGTGCATTTGCAGCCCAGTCGGTCGTGGACAGAGCCTGTCAAGGGGTGTGGACTGCCACGCATGAGACTTATGCCAGAGCAATGTTTTCCAATGTGCTTAGATACTTGAACCATCCTAGGGGGACCTTGGAGCGGGGCACGTCTAAGCTTGATGCATTAATTAGTAGAATTAGTTTAAGCATGTATGACCCCACCATTAGTTTTGATGATGCAATTTCAGGGGCGCTCACAGTAAACCCTGATAGGATATCGCTACCTGAGCAAGCCGCCATTCTTGACACTTGAAGGGGGAGAGACTGCAGGAGTTCACCACCATGTGCAAGTGGGTACCGGTTGAGCCTGAGGTTTGGAGACCCCAAGCCTTGCCACAAAGTAGATCCCCAAAATTGGGCTCCTCTGCTCAAAAAGTTGTATGATGCCAGTATGATCGAGTTCATACCCGTTGAAGAGGCTGTGCATGTTGGGCGCAAAGTCATAAAAGGGGGCCTTTTCTGTGTGGGCCACAAGCCGACTTCAGACCGACTGATCAACGACCGCCGCCCATTGAACATCCGCGAGCGTCGTTTGAACTGGTGCTCTCTGCCGGCAGGACCCATGTTAGGCCAGCTGATCCTGAGAAATGACCAAAGTATCAGGTGTTCGGGGGATGACCTGTCCAACTATTTTTACCTCATCAAGCATTTGGATTCGTGGTTGCGCAGAAATTGCTTTGGAGACCCCATCAAGGGATCAGAACTGCCGGGGCTTGGTTTGGATAGTCGTAAACGGTACCTGCCAGCTTTCCGAGTGGTTTGCATGGGCGACACCAACGGTGTCGACATTGCACAGGCCACGCATGAAGCGGTCTTGCAAGAAGTCGGATGCCTGCGAGAACACCAGACCCTGGTATATGGTAGGATTTTTCCCGCTTCAAACACATTAGAGGGACTTTACATTGATGATCACCTTGTGTTCCAGGTGTGCGATAAAAAGGTAGATAGGGACCGACCGACTGCTGAGGACGAACAATTAATTGCGCAGTCACGCTCGCAATACAAGAAATTAGGGCTCCCAGTTTCAGCAAAGAAAGCGCTAAACAAGGAGTATTCTTTCAAAGCATGGGGAACCGCTGTGTGCTCGCAGTCAGGGCGTGTTGGGGCGCCCTATGAGAAGCTTCGCCAAATCGAACACCTGGCATGTAGATTGTTGTTGGAAGGCAGGGCATCCAAGAAGGCTCTACAAAAGCTAATAGGGCTTTTCGTTCATCCCTTCATGCATCGTAGGGAGTGTCCGTATTTCACCATGTGTATATCTTCATTGAGAACATGTGTGAGAAAGGTATTTCGAGGCTCCCACACTTTGTACGAGATGAAATAGCATGCGCAGCACTTTTGTTGCCCTTTGCCCACACAAACATTCGCAAGCCAGTGTCCGTGCAGATATCAGCGACAGATGCCAGCAGTAAGGGGGGAGGACGAGCTTTAGCCATCACTTCTCCAAGCTTTGCAAAAGCTTTGTTTCGGTTCGCTGAAGTAAAAGGGGAACATGTAAAACTAGACTGGGTTAAGCATGGCATCGAGCCCCCATCTTCAATGTGTCGAGCTCCGACTCCTCTAGTAGATGCTCTCCAGAAACACTGCTGGGTGGCATCGCAGGCAATCAAGTTTGATAGAGCAGATCACATCAACATCCTAGAAATGGAAATGTTGAAGCAAGAACTAAAAGACAGGGCCAACTCAGGTAGAGGTAACGCCCGGGTGGTTAATCTTTGTGATTCAAGGGTTGTTGTAGGATCGTTTGGCAAGGGACGATCGAGCAGTAGGAACCTGAACCACAAGTTGCGTAGCTGCGTGCCTTGGCTCCTTGCCAGTGACCAGCTGCAAGCCGAGGGAAAAGCATACCGCCCCCAAGTAAAAGTAGCGAGGACCCCCTTCTGGATCTTCAGACTTTGAATGCTGTGCAGCAATATCGCTCAATTGGTTTTTGAAAGGGAAGCTAGGGTGGCTGGCGTAGACCCATTTGGCAGCCAGTCCGGTCCCATGTCCAACCCTTCGACACCCCACTCAAACCGGCTGCAAGAAACCCTTCGAAGCCCGCAGCCCCACAGCACTGAAAGTAACAACAGGTCCAGATGCAGGTCCGTTTTGATGGCAAATCAGGAGAGCCGTCCAGCAGATGTCGCCAGACCCGTTTTCCGCGAGATTTTTGCGAGAAAAATGCGGCTCACGGAGGCGGCGACGCAAGGTGGCGCCTTCACTGCAGGCGAACCTGTCGGCAACAAGAAAGACAAAGAACAAGGAGTTTCAGTGAACCTTTTTAACTCGAAGACCTTTTCAAAACTCAAAGGTGAAGCAGCCAGAGCAAATCAGGTGTGGCACTTTGCAATGCCTGGTTCGTCCTTTTCGGTTTTGCAGCATTCAAATGGGGGCACGAGGCGTGCCAGCAAACCACAGGGAAACCATGCCTTGCCCAGAGAAATTGAAGGTAACCTTTTGTTGGATCGTGTCATGACCCTCATTAGAATTCTAGAGGCAGCGGGTAGTAAATGGACTCTTGAAAACCCCCTTACTTCTTACCTGTGGAAGATGCCATCCATAGAAAAGAAAATGCGCGAGCAACGTTGTCATGAAGTTCATTTACACCAGTGTAGTTATGGACTCATGCTCCGGGACAGCCAAGGACGCTAAGGGCCCTGTAAGAAACCCACAAGGATTATAGGAAATCTCCACACACTGAAAGATTTAGCACAGTCATGCACGTGTAAGAAGCAGCATGTGCATGCTGTTGGTGGAGTTCGGACGCCAAGTGGCTGGAGACGCCGTTCTGATTTGGCGGGGCATTACCCCCTGCAGTTGCGCCGCCGATACGCCAGCGCAGCAAACCAGGCATTTTGGACTTAACGTAATGGTGGTTGTCCCATTCAGGTTTTTGCAGTTTTTTAAAAGTAAAGGTACAGATGTTGTAAAGCTTTAAACAGAGATTGGAGCAGTCAGAGAAATGAAAGCTGAGCTTCTTATGTCGGCTAGCCATGGGTCAAACCGTACTGCGGGATTGCTTTTTCGTTTCAGTCGCTTCTCAAGACCATATCGCGAGCGGCTGCTGACTGGATTGCGTGACCTCTACGCGTATTGTCTTGAATCAGCCGGGTGCAGCTTTGGGAGGCTTGCTCACACACCAAGGCTTGCAGACCGCGTCCTGAGTGAGTATGTGTTGAGCAGGCATGCGTCTCAGGTAAAGCTGACATTGGTGAAACATGCGCTCTTGGGGGCGCAGCACGCCTTCCCTGGGTTGAAAGGGAAGCTCAGCACCGCCTGGGAACACGTTCGGGTGTGGGAGGAGCAGCGAATTGTCAGATTACGGCAACCACTTCCCATACCAATTTGGCTTTGCATGGTTGGACTTGCCCGTGCCCATGCCAAAGTAGAGGCAGACACGGTGAGCAGATATGACTGGGAAGTGTTCAGTGTTTTACTGGAAATCGGCCTCTTCTGCATGCTTCGCCCCGGTGAACTGTTGAGGATCCATCACTCGGATGTGTCGCTGCCAGGCTCCTTCATAATGTGTGAACACCACGCGGCCATTCGTATTGTTTCTCCCAAAAACAGACGCCAGTTTGGAGAGAACCAGCTTGTTTTGGTTAAGCACGAAAACTGCATAGCTTGGCTTGCAAAAATTGTGCGCGACGGTGAGAATCAACCCCTTTGGCACGGTGGGGCGCGGCTTTTTTCGCATTTTTTCAAAACACTGGTCAACGAACTTGGTTTGCGAGATTGCCGATTTACTCCGGCATGTCTCCGCCCAGGTGGAGCCACCATGTACTTTAATGCAGGAATCAGTATTCCCACTCTGAGATTTATGGGCCGATGGTCAGTTGAAAGATCACTAGAGCACTACATCCAACTAGCTGTTGCCTCACAGGTCATGAACAAGCTTTCGCCGAAAGTTGCGCAGCGGCTCAAGCGTTTGGCTCCCTTTTGTTTGTGCCAAGTGCCTGTTGCCCTCGTAGGCTTCGATCTCCCTGACCCACGTGTGTACGTGGGTTGCCACAGACGTGAGCTCCTGACGTGGTGTTTAGAGTACACGCGTCTGCAGGGGCAATGCAAGGTCTAGTTGACCAGCACGGCAGCAAAGTTGCGCAAGGTGGCGCCTTGGCCGGCTCACCTTTCCGCCAGCTTTCTGAAGAACAGCTGCGCAAAGCGGCAAAACGCTATCCCTCTGATCCTAGGTTGCAGAAGTTTGCCAAGGCCAAGATAGCCATGATGGACCTGGAGCCTAGCCAAGATCCTTTACCATGTGCGCCGCTAAGGCTTCCTGCAGTCCAGCCTCAGGTTGAACAACCAGGTGTCAATCGATTTAGCTGCCGCTTTGTCGTCAAATGGTTGCTGTACCTTTTGACCAAGAGTTGCTGGCGGTATGTGCTCTGGGTTTTGGTGTTCGCCCTGCTGCTCAAGCCAGCGGTGACCTCTGTGCTGGCAAAGTATGCAGTCAGACTATTTAGAACTTTCTTGCGACAACTCCTCAGTTTTTTGGCTGATAAGGATGCCAGAATTTCGTAAGATGTCGAAGCCATCTTTCACA